TTCCGGTTACAAGGCGAGCTAGCTCATAGACCATTGAGCCACTAGGATCCAACTCCATGCCTAGCCCATGAATGCTAATTTCGACAAATTCGTGATTTTTAGCGCGACCACAGGACAGAGTTCCCTAGAATTCTAGTGAGAAGTCGTGACTAAGTGATGTCCATCTAGTCGCAAGTGAAGGATGGAGTTCCCGGGCGATGACATTGGTCGATGCTAGTCGCGCTAAAATCACGAATTGGTCCCAGTGGCTGAATGGTATACGAGTTAGCTTGCCTTGTAACTGGAAGGTCCTGGGTTCGAATCCTGTCTGTGGTGGATGCGTACTGCCGATGAGTCTCAAACTAGGCTGACGGAACAGTTGGCTGTCCAGTACTCCAGTGCTGGTTTTCCAATGGTTCTACTCTAACTGATGTCAATCCTTCGAGGTCAAACTCGACAAAAAACAAATCCTAAGGACTAATTGTTTACTAGTGAAATTCATTAATTCTGTTTACTTACCTTATTTATATGACTAAAATCAATATCTAATGAATTATTTATTTTTACTGACTGTTTTTTTAATGTTATCATCGTTATGATTCATTTCAAACACAAATTGGATAATCAATGTAACCGGTGCGTGATTAACAAGTGCATGTTTATTATACCACCTACGATCTCTTTCTCACGTTAGGTGGTATAATAAGGTAAGTAATGTTGACGTTAGGCGTAGAGTGTTGGGCAAAGAGGGAAAATCAATCGAAGAGGCTATAAAGTTACATAGATTGAGATGGCTGGGTGACGTGCTGCGCATGCCTAACCATCGCCTCCCCCGACGGACGGGCATTACTAGCTGATATAGGTAGGTGCAGGTTGGAAAAGAGTAAGTGGTGGCCAGACAAAAACATGGCCTCATCAATCCATGAAATCCCTGACAGTTAAACTGAGTCAGGTAGGGAGATGCAGACTTCCGGGTTGGGGCCCGCCCTCGGGACTCCAAGAATCAATGTCTGGAGACAATAGGTGACATGGCTCAAAATCGTTGTCAATGGCTTACGCAGATGTATTCAGTCTCTTGTGTAATCTTTCATATTCCTTTCTACCATTACTCATTCTGTTTCACTCTTATACTTGTCAAAACTCTATTGATTCTCTTCACTCATTTTCTTGTCTACCTTTGTGTGCTATTTGGAACGTGGCAACTGGAACTGCTGCACTTCGGTGCCAAGTTCTATGTTGAATCCAGACAGAAGACAGCATGTTTGGAAAATTTGAAACAATAAAATAGGAGATTAGAGATTCAGTGAGAGACTATTTAATAATTACACTTTTCAATTCGATACATTTCTCAGGTATCCACATCTTATTAGCAAAAGTTGTAATATGTCTTTGTGTAGTTACTTAATATAGTTAGTTTACCAGCCAACTGCTCTCCAATGTATACTTTTGATAGCAACCGCACTTGCCAGCTGGTAAATTGTGTATATGTGACTCATCGGTTTTTTAAATAACTTGACTTTCTAGTCAACACGTTCAAAGTTCAAGTCTGAACACCATCTACTTCAGACGGATTAACTGTGTGTGTCATTATCAGGCCGCATACCAATAAGTGTAATTCATGGCCCTGGTAATATTGAAGAGTCTGAATTTAGACCTCTGGCAATCAATTAATGTGACCTATTTGTAACAACAGAAGACAACGGCCAGGCAACAGATCGTTTATTAAGGAAAATCAACACATATTTATAGATTTTAATGTACATTATTGTAGATTATTGTTAGTAGAAAATACAGTCTTTTGATTGGTTGTTTCTCACAGAAAGTTAACCTTGCATCTCTTTGTGGCTGTGTCAGATCACCCATATGCTAACTATATCCTCCTACGCAAAGCCTTTGTTCTCATTTTCTCACCACCAATATTGGGGACATAAACATTGACGTCAATTACTGTCTATCAACTTTGGCTAGCAGCCAGCTCTCACCACATATTAGTCAGTTAAGTGGCTTAAAGTTTACGTGACGGAACGGCTCCTTGCCTTCTTCAATGGGTAATGTTAGCTAACTGTGTTATAGGATTGATTAGGTTGGAAAAGTGCTAATAGTGGTGGTGGTGGGGGGGTTGGTCAAACCAAAATATGTCATCAGTTCATTAAATCTTTGACAGTTGGTTTGAGATAATCACATAGGGAGGTATAGACTTCCTGGTTGGGGTCGTCGGGATGACAGTAAGAACCAATGACAGTGGCTGGAGACAGTTGGTGATATGGTCCAAAAACGTCGTTGTCATTCATTCACTGTGATTCGTTATAGTATCCAATAAAATTCTATTGTTTACAGCACTTCAAAATGAGCTGACATTAGTTAGAGAACCATTGGAAAACCTGGTAGTACTGGACAGCTGTTTCGTCCTAGTTTGGAACTCTTCATCAGTACGCACCCGCCGGGACCCCACCGGGTCCCAGTGGCTTAATGGTATACGAGCTCGCCTTGTAACCAGAAGGTCCTGGGTTCGAATCCCGGTGGGTGCATACCGATGAAGAGTCCCAAACCGGAACGAAACAGCTGTCCAGTACTCCCAGGTTTTCCAATGGTTCTCTAACTAATGTCAGCTCATGATGAATTCCTGTAACCAATCAAATCCCTACAAACCAACAATTAAAATTCTATTGTTCTTCTACATTACTATTATTCTTGTTTCATATTTCTGTTTATTATCTCTGTCTCTTTTGCATCTCTCTTTACTCTCGTCTGTTGCTTTATGTGCCATATGGAGGAAATGTGGCAACTGGAAGTGCTGCACATCTGTGCAAAGTAGTTCTACGTTGAAACCAGTCAGTGAGTCAGTCAGTAACTGAACGACTCGAAACACTCAATCTTGGCTTGTATTTTGTATAATCCTACCGTTGAGAGTGGAAGACATGAAAAGGCTGGTTAGCTAGCTGTCTTTGATCATAGGTAATTGCGTTCTATCTCCCGTAAGTGTAAGGTGGTGGTATAATAGGTTGAGTAATATTGAGGTTAAGCGTCTGTGGATTGCGAGGTGAGTTGGAGGGGAAATCAGTCGACGAGGTGGCTGTGAAGCTAGATCGATTGAGATGGTTGCGACATGCGTTACATATGCTTAGCCATCGATCGACTTCCTCGACAACGAGCAATGTAAGCTAACATAGTGTCAGATAGGAAAGGAGCCAGTGGTAGTGGTGGTCAAACGGAAACAGGGCTTCATCAGTCAATGAAATAAATCCACAACAGTTATTTTAAGCTGGCCATGTAGGAAGGTGTAGACTTCCAGGTTGGGGTCATCGGGACGGTAAAAACCAATGAAGGCTGGAGACAATTGGTGATATTGCTCAAAATCGTTCTCAGTGATGGCTGGCATAGATGCATCCACTCCTTGTGACTTATAATTCCCAATTAAACTATACTGTTCTTTGATACTTCTATTCCTTTTGTCTCATATCCGTGTCTACTGTCCCTATTTTCCATTTCTTCTTCTTTCTTCTCTTGTTTTGTGTGCTACATGGAAGGGAGTGTGGCAACTTGAACTACTGCACATCTTTGCAAAGTTCTACGTTGAAAACAGACAGATAATCCTACCGCACTATATATGCGGTTCGTTAAATTTCTGTCAACACTTGGCAATGAATACACAATGCAATCCTAACAGAGAATCAGACATGACGTAAGGCGATTATTTGTAAGATCTTTAAAGTCTCCACCAAACTAATTGGTTAGATTTAACTCTTAAAGTGGTATAAATCCAATTTACTGATTGAGTGCTAGCAGATATTGTGGTGTGTGCTACTGATAAGATTTATCAGTAGTATAAAAAAGAGACGTTCATCGCAGCCCACAAAAATAATATCAAATAGGCAGGGAGATAGATTTGATGTCAGAGAAAGTAAATGATACCAGTGTTGCAGAGATACATGGGAGATAGATGTGAAAGGAACACAAAGAAACACACACACACAATATGAAAGAAGGGCAGAAAGAAGTAGCTCAACACGGAAGACCGAGTCTCTTATCTTCTACCGTTACAATATGAGCACTGGCTATTAAACATTTTCAATGTATGATATCTAATTTATTTAGAGACTTCTCAGCCTTATTCATATTTTCTCATAGAGTGTTTTCGAATGATTCAGCATTCCCTTCGATCCTATTAACGTATCCTTGTGTAATTGGGGGCGGGCATGGACCTTTTTACAGTTTCTCTGAAAGTATTAAAGTGTGTGGGCTAATAATAAATAAGTACATTACAGTACAAGGAGCAGCCTCCTTTACCTACCAACCTGGAAACATCGTTTCAACTACAGGCGGGCAGAACTGATGAGGATATCAAAGCGAAGATTGGGAAAGCAAAGCAAGCTTTCATTTCTCCCAAGTATGTGTGAAGATCAACAGCACTACTCAGCACTCAGCATGAAAATGAAAATAAAAATTTTCAACTCCCACTGGAAGTCAGTGCTACATACTATACGAATCAGACACGGCCTTGCGCTGCGCCGTGTCACGAAGGCCAATTTGAACAAACTGCAGACCTTCATTAACAGCTGTCTTCGCTGAGTACTTCACTCAAGGTCAGATGGCCGGCCAGAAAAGATCAGAAACAGCGAAGGATCTTTGACAATGAGCGAACCAACTCAGCAGGAACCGATTGTGAAACAAATAGGCAGGAAGAAATGGAGGTGGATTGGCCATACTCTGAGAAAACCATCAAGTGACATTACTAGACAAGCCCTCGAATGGAACCCGAAAGGGAAGCGGCGAGTTAGTTGGTGGTGAGTACGATGGTGACATGGAGGAGGATGTCATGTGAAGAGGAGATGAAAGCATGTGGGCAGACGTGGAGCCAGGTGATGAAAACGTTGGCAGAGAACCGAACGCAATGGAGACGTGTGTCTGAAGCCCTATGTTCCTTTAGGAATTAAAGGAAACCATAATAATATACAAAGACTTATTTCTATTTGCCTATGGTTTTTGTTTTTACAATATCAACCCTTTTCTTTTCTGTCTAGCGTTATCTTAAACGTGTTCGTGAACGGAAAAGAAATTTAGACTTACAGTTGTCACCAGTTATTGTAGAAACAACAACTGGTAGTATACTTCAGAGATTGAAATCAGACATGTTAGCGTCAATTGAACTGCCAAAAGATGGTAATTTCAACGATGCAACCGCTACTACTACTAATACTTCGAGTGACCAAGATACAAAGAAGCATCCCATTGATGATGAAGCGGGTCATGTCGATGATGGGGATCGTAATCAGGATCCTAACAGACTGTAAGTTATCACTTTTTTTCTTCTTTTTAACGATGATGCTCGCTAGTGACTGGCCCTATTCATGTAGGTAGTTACCTGGGTGGGTTACAGTGGGAAGTCGTGATCAGTGGGGTACAGTAAATGGTCGGGTGTGAGGAAAAATACTCTCCAGCGATGACATTCGGCTATTGGTCGTTTGAATCAATGGACTGACCATTGGATTGGGTCGTAGTGGTTTAATGGTCTACGAGCCAGCCCGCTTTGTAACCAGAAGGTCCTGAGTTTGAACCCCGATGGATGCGTACTGATGAAGAGCCTCAAGCTAGGCTGACGAAACAGCTGACTGTCCAGTAACTCCATTGGTGGTTTTCCAATGGTTCTCTAACCGATGTGTCAGTTGATGATGAAATCCTGAAACCGTTGGCAATACTCAGTAAATTAAGTCAATATATATATATATATATATATATAATATTCTAGAATGGTCGTCATTAACGATGTTGGCGTTTTTTTTTAATACTATCGATTTGTTTAGTAAGATTACAGTGGCATTACCACAGTTCACTAAAGATGCATAAATTATAATAATTAGCATAAAAATGTAATAGTAAATAGAATATCAAACAAATTTAAGGAAATTTCCACAACAAATTTAGGATTATTAGAACCTTGATGGCCAGGAAGGGGGATAAGGAAAGTGTCTGAACCAACCAACTTCTTTTGGATACATAAGTTAGGTTTCTTGATTAACGTGGATTCCAACAGCCAGCGTCAGCAATATGTAGTAGACGAACTCTTAAGGTGAAGTTTAGATTAATCGGTATGCCGTAAATGACTTTGAAAGCAGCCTCGTTAACATCAATTTTGTGTTCTGCATCCACAAAAAGAGAGAGAATAGATCTTTGAATGGATTTTGTTGATCCCTCACTTAACCACTAAGCTGGGTGATGTTCGGAAATCCGACGAGAAACAAGGCTAAATGTACGACCTATACAACTAACTGACTCACTCCACAGGTGCAGTCAAATTGTGATAGATACACACAGAAAGAAGTGTCGAAATTAGGCAGTTTATCTTTAACTACTCCCGAACGCAAATTACGATGGGTGGTTTTGAAGAACAGCGTAATTCAGCAGCAGCATTGAATGCTCTTTTTACAGCATTTTTAAGGCGTTTTGTTAATATCGCACTGATGTTATCCCCGAGGAACTGAATTTGTAAGAACAAGGCCTCCCTTTTTCGGAACTGTTGGTACCTTGGGCTGCTTTGATTTATATAATAACGCAATTCAAATGTGTATTAAAGGGACTAACTGTTTTTAAAGTTTAATTACCTCTTTTAATTGTTTTTAATCCTTCACCTGTCGTAAAAATGAAGTCATATAAAAACGAAGAAGAGGCTTCCAACACGAAGAGTGTTACTGCTTTCAGTGATATCATTCTCTCATGCTGTACTACAATTGAATTAGTTTCTGTAGGGATTTGATTTGTTTCTCAAGTTTGTTCACGGATTGACATCAGTCAGAGTACCATTAAAAACTAGCAGGGAGTATTGGATAGCTGTTTCGTCGTAGTTTGGGTCTCTTTGGCAGTACGCACCCATCCTTCCGGGTGTGGTCGTAGACCATCATTCAGTCACTGGGACCCGACTCACTGACCAGCCCGTGAATTCTAACTTCTACCACTTCGTGATTTTAGCACGAATGGCACTAGCCAGTCAGCGAGTAACCGCCGTTGGTCACGACTTCTTACTACAGAAATCAATGCAACTTCGTCCTGTAACATCAGATTAATTTTCTAGGGGTTAGTTTGTAGGGATTTCAGTTGTTCCGAGTTCCATCATGGATGGATTTCAATTAGAGAACCATTGAAAACCAGAAAGTTGAAGTTGTTTATCCTTCATCTTGCATTTGACGTGGTTAAAATGAATATATATTCAACACACTTAACCGAAACTTTGTTCAGAAAGCTCATAAGATTGGATCTTAATCTTGATCAGGAAACGACTGTAGTTGAAAAGAAAAAGAAATTGCGAATACTGTGGAGTACTGGATAGCTCTTTCGTCCTAATTTTAGACTCCTCATCAGTTCACACCCACAAGGGGTCAAAATTGGGACTTTCAAGTTTCGAGATCAACCTCGTTGACCACTCAACCAATTTGGACTGGAATTCGAGGATCTGCGAATATTCTAACTTTACACTTTTGAAAAGTATCAAACTGAAGCAAAGGAGCTGTCCAGTGCTTCCAGCTGGTTTTCAACGATCCTTCCAACCGATGTTGGTTCGCGACGAAGTCCCAAATCCCAACAAAATATTCCTTTACGTTCCCAGTGGTGGAACATAGAGCTTCAAGCTAGAGCTTTGAAGTTTCGTTAGCAGAGTGGGATTTCTTATTTTTACGGGGTGGGGTTGCTAACCCTACACCCAACCTTCTCTCTTTACCAATCTTATTACCGACTTAGCAAGGTAAAGGAGAAGTGCGACCTCGGTTGGGGATCGACCCCCAAACCACCTGAGGAGGTTTGGTTGACGAAAATTCTACCGCTAAGCCACCGTCGATCCCCACTCCTTTAAAAATTACCCATTATCTAAATATATTTACTCATTCTTATTTCTCCCTTTTTTATCCAATCTTCAGACTACTAGCTGGTCAATGTGCAACCGACGAACGGTGTAAAACTCCCTCACACATCGACGAAGAATCACCAACAAAGAATAAAGATTTTAGTTCTGCATCTTCGCCTATCTCTCCTTCTTCTTCTACTAAGCGTATCATTGATAAAGATAGTAATAATAATAATAATACTCATCGTAATTGTAATTATCATCAAATGGAAACAATCCTGAGTAAATCAATTGATGAGTGTAAGACACGTATAAAACTTTTGGACAGTTTACACCAACTACGTTCAGCACGACTTACACAGGCTAAACAACAAGGTAAAAAGAAGAAAAAAGAAAATTTGTTTAACCTTTGTTATTTTATTGTGATTATTTTTAAAAAATGTGAATTTAGACTTGTACTACTTGTCAGTAGTACATCACTATCACACTCTTTTTTCTGCAGTCACATTTTTTCAGATGGCTCTTCTATCGCCCATACACTTTTACTTTCTCCTTGGACTCACACCCAACATGTCGTTTCGCATTCGAACCCCGCTTAAGAGCTTGTCTTGTGTGTGTGTGATTTCACTCAACGTATTCCTAAGTGATTGTCCGATCCATCCCCATTTTTTCGGGCGATAGATTGTTAGTTGGTTCCTCTAGTCTGATCTGATCTCTATTATGCATTGAAGACAGCCGGTGATGAAAGTTTTCAGTAGCCTCTTGTTGCTGCTTTTCATGACACGTGCGGGACCAAGTATCTCGGCCAATCATATATGGAGTCACTGACTTGATATTAGTATCAGAAATTTTCATTTCCTTCCTTGTGTTGAGTACTACAGTTTGGGTTTTCCCACTAATTTCAGATTATTGAAGGTCTGTCTAGCTATTTCGATTTTGCCTTTAACATCCTCCTTCTGAAGACTTGCAGGCGGGCGAAAACCAGCAAACTGACAGAAGAAACAGTCAGTGGAGACAAGATTCCAGATGAACATAGAGAAGACGGAGGTGATGAAGTTAACCTGCCAGCCGACCAACCAACCAACCAATAGCAACAGCAACAACAACAAACATCACCAATCACCATCAGCGAGAGAGATTTGAAAGAGGTTACTTCCTGTTCTCGCTTATCTCGCACGGTTTCAACCACAACCAGGCAGGTAGGCAGGTAGTCGGACAGCACGGATGAAGATGTCAATGCTGGCCGACAAGCCAGCCACCTAGAATCGGAAAAGCAAGATACGCCTTCAACCTGAAACCAGTTTGCAAATATTCTGCTTCGCTCACTCACTCAGCCAGTGAGATAGCCAGGATAAACAACAATATTTGGATTCTATTCAACAAAAATGTCAAGTAAGCCAGTCAGTGAGTTCTTATGTGGTGAGAGCTGTCTACTAGCCAAATCGGTTGACAGTAATTGAGGTCAAGGTCAAGATGGACAGGCGGATACAGAACTGACACAGCCACAAGAGATGCAAGGTTAACTTTGTGTGAGAAACAACCAATCAAAAGACTGTATTTTCTACTAACATTAACCTACAATAATGTACATCAAAATCTATAAATACGTGTTGATTTTCCGTAATAAACGTTCTGTTGCCTGGCCCTTGTCTTCTGTTGTTACACTTCTATACGGATGAGAAACTTGCACTGCGCGTCAGTCTGTCAGTCACGAAAAGCATTTCCCACAGGCTAGTGCAGACTCCTACCAACAGCAGCCACCTTCGCTAGCTGGCTGGCTCCATACTGAAGATCAAATGGCCAGAAAGAATTAGCAAGAAGAGAGTGTGGTGATGAATAAACCAAACAACGAAGAACCAATTGATTGTTCAACAAATATGTAGGAGATGGAGATGGATTGATCAGGCACACACCAGCCACTGAGGAGGTCGTTGGTCTAATGACATCCAGTGCAATTCAGTCCATTGCTCGAGTGGGATCCGAATGGGAAACCAGCGACGAGTGGGTGGTCAGTGTGAGTTTGACATGGAATATATCGTGTAGAAACGAGGAGTAGATGAGAGATTATGGATAGTAATCGTGAGTTCAGCCAGCTGAGATGTGTTGTTGGAGCTCCATGTTCCACCTAGAACCCAAAGGAGTAATAATAGTGACAGTGATTGATGCTTGCTTGCTGGTTGTCGTTGTTGGTTAGTTATCTTTATCACCTGCCTTCTCTACACCTACATGAATTCCAGTTGTCACTGTCCTTTTCTACCAACTTCTTGGTTTTCGCTTGTAGATCTTCTAGTGTGTGTGTGCGATATATGAAAGACACATAGATCATCATCCACAAAATTTGAATCTTCTAAGCTCTTTTCCTCGGTCCGATGTATACCTGTCTTCTCCACACACCCCTCGCCACTGTCTGTCGAATAATCCAGTCCATTACAATGATGGACATCAACGAGGATAGTAGGCAGCATAGTATACACATAACCAATAAAAATCCTGAAATATATGTATCAAACTTGGGCACTGTGGCAGGAAGTAATTCCATATTAGTTTGTTTATTAGATATGTCACATACAGTCAGTGAAACAGTATTATTACTTACTGGATGACAAGGTTTCGAACAAAATTTATTATTCATAATCATTTCATCAATTATAACCACACGACTTCAAAACTTCAGTTTTATAGTTTTCTTTCTTCTATTCGTCGTCGTAGAGGTAGCACAATTTTCCAGATACCTGGGAGAGGTGTTGAGTCATTCCTATTACACTTATTTGCAGTTGATTCGATGAACAAGGCTTCCGTTATCAATCTCTCCCTCCACCCTGTTTTAATTATATTTTAAAACTGTCATCCTATCCCATCCTATTGTATGGTTGTGTGTAACTGAATGTAGTGCTATAGCTGAAATATTCTCTAGATTTCTTATCCTATTCGGATCAACCAATCTAGATTTTGCTGCTAGGTTTTTACGTTCGGCCAGTTTGATTGCCCCTGTTCTACTACTTTGACCAATGTATTTGACGTGACAATCATTCCAGCAGGGTATTAGATACACTAAATTGTTTTGTTTTAAAGGCTCCACAGGATCCTTTGAGTTTGTGGGTTTGAATACCAGCCACCTTTATTCCTGCCTTGTTAAGAATTCTGCGTAAGGTGGTTTCCGAGATTCCTTCCTTGTATGCAATTACTACTGATGATTTAGATTCCTTATTGTTGGTGTTGTCTGTCCCATGTTTGAAATGCATGTCGGCATTAATATTATTATTATTATCACTACTATTATTATTTATTTTATATTTTCATTTCCCTACATACTTTCTGACTAATTTATTAGGGTAATTATTAAGTTTCAAGGCTTCTTTTATGTGTATCAGTTCCTGTTTTAGATTTTCCTTGATACTACTAAGTTTTTGTGCTCTGTCATTTAAACATTTCACCAATCCTATTTTTAACGACATAGGATGGGACGATCGGAAGTCTAAATATCTGTTTGAGTGTGTGGGTTTCCAGTAACCCCTAGTGTTTAACTTCCCATCTTCTTTCCTCTTTACTTTGCAACCTAAAATTGGAAGTTACCCTTCCTGAGTTTCCAATTCATAAGCGAATTAAATTGCCTCCACCTTTGATTTAATGTGTTCGAAAAATCTATCTATATCTTGTGTTCTAAGTACGGTAAATGTGTCATCTACATACCTCCACCATACTTTCGGGGTGGGGTGGGGGTGCTATGTTTTCCCACCTATCCATGAATATATATGATACAACCGGGGATATTGGTGATCCCATAGCAACTCCTTCAGTTTGCAAGTCATTCAGTAGTTTATAGGTTCCTTTGATTGGACATTAGTCAGTAACTAGTGCAATGTGTCCACTCATTGCTCATTAAGTATTTTTATGTATTCTGATAGGAAACATTTACTGTTACAACATTCAAAACTGTCAGTCCCATTTATACAACACGTTTCAACTACAGGCGGAACTGACGAGGATATCAAAGCAAGAATCGGAAAAGCAAGACAAGCTTTCACTACTCTCAAGTCTGTGTGGAGGTCAACAGCATTACTCAGCACTCAGCATGAAAATAAGATCCGGATTTTCAACTCCAATGTGAAGTCAGTGCTACTTGCTATAAGGATCAGAGACTTGGTGCGTCATAAAGAGCACATCAAACAAACTACAGACCTTCATTAACAGTTGTCTTCGCTCAATACTCAAGATCAGATGGCCGGTCAGAAAAGATCAGCAGCAGAGATCTCTGGCAATGAGCGAATCAACCAGGAACCGATTGTGAAACGGATAAGCAGGAAGAAATGGAGGTGGATTGGCCATACTCTGAGAAAACCATCAAGTGAGTGACATCACTAGACAAGCCATTGCTCGAGTGGAACCCGAACGGGAAGCGGCGAGTTGGTCGTCAGTGTGAGGGTGACTTGGAGGAGGTCATGTGAAGATGAGATGAAAGCATGTGGGCAGACATGGAACCAGGTGAAGACTCTAGCAGAGAACCGAACGCAATGGAGACGCGCGGCTGAAGCCCTATTTTCCTCTAGGAATTAAAGGAAACAAAATAGTAATAATAATTACCGTTGCCAAATCAACCACTGGTCCACTAACTCTATCTTTTATTAAGAAGTCGCTATTCACCGAGATCCATAAAGTTGACTGTAGGAACGAATGTTCATAGATGTAATTGATTGATCGTGAAATTATACCGTCAACTGACAGAAGATAGAGATTTTATAAACCCATTGGATTTTCACTGAGTAGTGGTTGGATGGTAACGTGCTCATCTCATTGACTAAAGATTATGAGCTCCATCCCTTGTGGTTTTATGGCTCTATACATATGTATTGCTGAAGAGTCCCAAAATGGGGCGAAACAGTTGTCCACTGCTGCCGGATTTTCAATGGTGGTTTAACTAATCTACTCATGTCTTGTTTTAAATGTGTTGTGTCATGAAACTATATGTTTTTTTAATCTTAATTTCATTTTGTAGTATGAATTATGTGTGAATATTTATATATTTTGTTTTATTCAATCTTTAGGCGGTCTTTTTCCTCATCAAATCGATGAAGTATTCACCTTCAATATTAATGAATTGAAAAGTCTTCTATCCGATCAAATTCAAAGTCTAGAAACGACGCATACAAAAGTTAAGGTGAGTGAATGACTAAATTAATTCACTGACTGCCTGACTGACTGCCTGACTGACTGACTGACTGACTGACTGACTGACTGACTGACTGACTGACTGACTGACTGACTGACTGACTGACTGACTGACTGACTGACTGACTGACTGACTGACTGACTGACTGACTGACTGACTGACTGACTGACTGACTGACTGACTGACTGACTGACTGACTGACTGACTGACTGACTGACTGACTGACTGACTGACTGACTGACTGACTGACTGACTGACTGACTGACTGACTGACTGACTGACTGACTGACTGACTGACTGACTGACTGACTGACTGACTGACTGACTGACTGACTGACTGACTGACTGACTGACTGACTGACTGACTGACTGACTGACTGACTGACTGACTGACTGACTGACTGACTGACTGACTGACTGACTGACTGACTGACTGACTGACTGACTGACTGACTGACTGACTGACTGACTGACTGACTGACTGACTGACTGACTGACTGACTGACTGACTGACTGACTGACTGACTGACTGACTGACTGACTGACTGACTGACTGACTGACTGACTGACTGACTGACTGACTGACTGACTGACTGACTGACTGACTGACTGACTGACTGACTGACTGACTGACTGACTGACTGACTGACTGACTGACTGACTGACTGACTGACTGACTGACTGACTGACTGACTGACTGACTGACTGACTGACTGACTGACTGACTGACTGACTGACTGACTGACTGACTGACTGACTGACTGACTGACTGGTTATTCACCCAATAACTGATTTATTTTAATATTTATAATTTTTTTGAAGGATATACTTCGACATCAAGAGAATCTGAAATCGAAGAGCAATTATAATTCTCTTTCTCAATCTCAAGGTAACTGTTGTATCCATGTGCCAAATTTGCCGAAGCAACTACAGATCGAACTATTTGGTAATCAGTGTACAAATAACATATCAGGCAAGTTGTGTAATAGTAATGAGTATTTATTATTTTTTTTGGGGGGGGGGGCACTTTTTGCGCGATACATGTTTTTGATATGTATTAATATTACTACTCCCTTGGGTTCCGAGTGAAACATACGGCTTTAACAACACATCTCTACATTCTTCTATTTTCTCTCGTCTTCACGTAGAAGGATTATAGGTACAATCTGCGAATGTACGGCATGCGATTCGCTCCCCTTTTCAAATGTAAGATGATCTTACAGGACTGGACTGGACTGGACTACACTGACTCCTGGTTTAGAAATAGGGAGTGAAGTGGTTGATGGAGCGTGTTGACCGCTTCACTTATTTGGGGAGTTGCATCAGCCAGTGCCAACGCCAACGGGTTGATCTCTGACGAAATCTCAGTATGGATACAGAGGGCTAGTTTCGCATATGCCAGTTTACGCCGTCTCTGGCTTAGTAGACGTGATATCCGGCTATCGACCAAAGGACGTGTGAACTACTCAGCAGTTCACTCCATTTTCCTGTATGCCTGTGAGACATGGCCCCCATTGGAAGTGAAAGTCATGAAAAGACTAGCTAGCTAGCTGTCTTTGATCATAGGTGTTTGTGTTCTTTCTCCCGTGTGAAATGGTATAATAGGGTGAGCAATATTGAGGTTAGGCGTCTGTCGAGTGCGAGGTGAGTTGGAGGGGAAATCAATCGACGAGGGGGCTGTGAAGCTAGATCGATTGAGATGGTTACGACATGTGTTACGTATGCCTAGCCATCGCTTGCCTTCCTCGACGGGCAGTGTTAGCTGACATGGTGTCAAGTTGGGAAGGAGCCAGTGGTTGTGGTGGTCAAACGAAAACATGGCTTCATCAGTCAATGAAATCCACAACACTTAGTTTATGCCAGCCATGTAGAAAGATGTAGACTTCCTGGTTGGGGTCATCGGGACGGTAAAAACGAATGACTGGAGACAATTAGTGATATGGCTAGTTCAAAATCGTCGTTCTCAATGGCTGGCGCATATGCATCCACTCCTTGTGACTTATATTACCAAATAAAACTATATTGCTCTTCGTTATTGCTATTCTTTGTGCCTCATGTATCTGTTTACTGTCTGTATTTCGCATTTGGTTTTACTTTATCTTACTTTTTGTGGTACATGGAGGGAGTGTGGCGACTAGAACTGGTGCACATCTGTGGAAAGTTCTATGTTGAAACCAGTCAGTCAGTCAATCATTTTCTCCTGTCCTCCTCAGCTGGCTGCGCCCACTATTACTGCCCATAATCTCTTGTCTCCTCCTCCTTCTCCTCCTCCATGTCACCCTCGCACTGACCTCACACCCACCACTCGTCGACTCCCATTCGGATTCCACTCGAGGGATGGCCTGCATTGCACGTAATTCCATTCAACTGACCGCCTTCTCATTGGCGTGTGTGCCCGATCAATCCATCTCCATTTCCTCCTACATATTTGTCGAGCAATCAATTGGCTCTTCGTTGGTTGGTTTGCTCAACGCCAGAGTTTCTTGTTGCTAATTCTTTCTGGCCATTTGATCTTGAGTATGGAGCCAGCCAGCCAGCTAGCGAAGTGGGCAGCTGTTGATAGGAGTCTGCACTAGCCTGTTGGAAATCCTTTTCGTGACTGACAGACTGACGTGCAGTGCAAGTTTCTCACCCGTATAGAACAACATCTCTATATATCTCCTTACAATATCGATTTAATGATGTAATGCTAAGAAAACGTTTTACTCTACTTTTTCTTCTCTTTTTTTCTCTCTGTTTCCTTGTTTAGATATTCAACAACGTTGGCAACGTTTTTATCATCAAGCTGATTATAATTTTTGTGATTTTATACGAATTAGGTAAGTTAAGCCCTATTTTGTGGTGAAGTCTAAGAGGCACTGTCGAACAGTAAAACGTGAATAGTTTGTTGTAGTAGTAGTAGTGTTATATAATCTTTTGATTGGTTTGAGGATTTCATCATAAGCTGATATCAGTTAGGGAACCATTGGAAAACCAGCAGGAAGTACTGGACAGTCAGATGTTTCGTCCTAGTTTGGGACTCTTAAACCGATCAGACAAAACCCCTACAACCCAATACTTGATAATTGATCTGATACTCACTAGCGACTGGGGAACCGTGACCAGTAGGGTATAGCAGGTTGAAGGTGAGGTAGTAACTCATCATCGAGGAAGATATAGCGAAGTGGTCGCGCTATTTTGTGAATTGACAGAAGTTAGAATTCATGCACTGACTGGCCATTGGATGGGCGAGTCCCAGTGGCTTAATGGTCTACTAACTAGCCAACCAACCATACATGTGGTCCGAGATTCGATTCCCTGCCAATGCACCTTTGAACCTCATCCACTTTACTAGCTGATAACAGTCAGTTTTGAAAAGACCGTTGGTTGAACTCGTAGTAACCCGGCTAGCAATCTCTTCCCTCTAATTAACAACAACACCACCACCGCTACGGCCGCTGAAACTTCAAAGTTTGAACGCCAAGGAATGATTGAATGACTCCTAATAAATATTAAATTGTCCTCACTTTATTTTTATTATTTTGGTTTCCTTGGGTTCCTAGTGGAGCAAAGGCTTCAACAGGACATCTCCGATTTATCCTTTTATCTGTGGTCATCTTGGGCTGCGCTGATCCCACGATTCTCCGTAGTCTCTCATCTCCTCCTCCTCCTCCTTCCCAAACGATCTCCTCCTGTTTTTCATTTTTCATTCGGATTCTACTCAAAGGTGTCTCTCTGGAGTGCGTAGCCACTCACCAGTCTCCTCAGCGTGTGTTCGATCTATCTCCACCATTTTCTTCGAAATATTTGTCGAGCAGTAGGTTCTTGATATAAGTATAAAACTTGGGCACTGTGGTGGTAGAGTATAACTCCATTATGGATAAGATTTCATTTTGATAATGTCTCACACAGTGTTACGCACTATTAATAACTGATGACGTTTCGAGCACGAACTATTGCCACTCATCATCATATCAAGTTACTCACACAACTTTTTCCTTCATTTATATACATGAGTAGACTTGATTAGAAATTTGAATAAAATCAGTAATATAGGATATTGTACATTCAGAAACAATAATAATATGATTGTTATCAATTAAATGCAATCAGATGGGAAATAAGACGAGTGTTTATATAGTCAAAATAAGTAACTTGTTAGAATGTTATGATTTACGTGAGTTGAAATGGAATTTTAAGTTTATTTATTATCCTCCTCTGATTTGACTGATTGGTGGTAATAATATCTTCCATGCATATCTCTGGTATTTGCATTGAGTCATTTCTGTTGTATGTGTCGTGTTGGGTGTAGACTCAATGAACCAGGATTCAGTAATCAATCTCTCTCGCCCTCCACCTACATAGATTACTTCTTGGAACCTTAACCCTCTCCCACCCTATTGTGTGATTGCGTGTTAATGCATGCAGTCCTATTGCTGAGCTTTTTTTCTTAATTACTTATCTGTCTTCGTGGGATCAATCATTCTTACCTTAACCACTAAATTCCTATGTTGTGACAATCTGACTACCCATATCTACTGGTGTGACCTATATAGTTGACCTCACAGTCACTGCAGGGTATTTTGTAAATTATATTATTTCGTTTAATTTGGTCCATCGGGTCCTTTAGTCTACCTACAGAGTTTGTCCCACTTGAGTGAGTTTGTAGGTTTAAATACCACCAGCCTGATTCCTGCCTCACTAAGAATCCTACGTAAGGAGGGTCTCAGATGTCCCCTCCTTATATGGTATAACAGTAGATGACTTATATTCTCTCTCATTTATGTTATTATTACTAGCTTCACAATTATTTTTATTTTGCTTTTTGCCTTTTTCGAATTTTCTAGGATAGTTATTCAACGCCAACGCTTGTTCTACCTGTTTTATTTCGTCATTTAGGTCTTTTCTTGTGCTACTTAGTGCCATTGCTCGGTTTGTTAGACACTTAACTAAGCCTGCCTTAACAGTTAACGGGTGAGATTGAATTAAAGTCTAAATATCTATTAGCAGAATGCGTTGGTACTTTATAAACGCTAGTGTGTAGCTTACCTTCTATTCGTTTTATTTTGCAATATAACATAGCTAACTCTTCTTGTTTATTTACGTTTCCGTTCTTGATTGGTTTGTTCATCGCCAGAGTTTCTTGGTGCTAATTCTTTCTAGCTGGCCATCTGATCTTCAATATAGAACCGGCGAAAATAGCTGTTCATAGAAGTTTTCAACCTGTTGGAAATGCTTTTCGTAACGCAGTGGCCAAGTTTCTGACCCATATAGAAGCAGTGACTGAGTGACTGACTGAATAACATTGGTGTTGAACAGAATCCGAATTTTGTTGTTTATAGTGAGGCGGCGGTGGAGTGCATCTGATTTGGAAACTAATTTCAGAGTGATAAAGTTCTGTCTATGGTCTTCCCGATTCTGGTTTTGACATTGTCGTACCGTCTGTGCCGTCTGCCTGTAGTTAAAATGATTCTGCTTAGGTGAATGAAAGAAGTCATCTAGTTGGTTGGTTGACTGGTTGGTTATCTTCATCACCTCCGTCTTTTGTGTATTCACTTGAATTCCTGTCTTTGCTGCACTGCTTCTTATTTGGCACAAGTTGTCGGTTCTCGCCTTGTGTGACATTAGACATAAATCATCTGCGAAGTTCAGATTTTCTATTGTCTTCTTATCCATTCCGCCCACCCTCCCCACACCTCCGTGTAATCCAGTCCACTACAATTAGGAATATCATCGTGAGTGATAATTGTCAGCCAGCCTTGTTTTACTTCTTTCTTCACTTCAAAGCCAGGTTTTGTTGAGTTTTCCGTTGTGGATTACTTTACATGTTGTGGCACTGTTGAATGAGGTTGGTAAGGATTTGGAGCACTCCACAGTGTTGAAGTAGTTTCCAAATTTCTTCGCGATCAGTATTATCGAAGGCCTTTTCAAAGCGGATGAAGTTGAGGTAGACATTTGACTACCATTGTATGCTCTGTTCAAAGTTCAAAAAATATCCATAAAACGAAATTGTGTCCACTAAAACGACTTTTCCCCGAAAATTTACTTTAGGGTAAAACTTAGTTTTTTCACACGATATTACTTATGAGTAGTTTCCCTCGTCAATTTGCAATCGTAATAGGAATTTAACCTCACGACACACTAGTTATTAACTAAACGTCTATTCCAATGATCCAGGGTTCCGCAGTTAATTAAACTATTATTATTGTTTCCTTTAATTCCTAGAGGAACATGGGGCTTCAGCCGTGCGTCTCCATTGCGTTCGGTTCTCTGCTAGAGTTTTCACCTGGCTCCAAGTCTGCCCATATACTTTCATCTCCTCTTCACATAACCTCCTCCAAGTCACCCCCGCACTGACGACCAGCTCACTCACCGCTTTCCGTTCGGGTTCCACTCGATGGCTAGTCTAGTGATGTTACTTGATGGTTTCCTGAGAGTATGGCCAATCCACCTCCATTTCTTCCTGCTTATCCGTTTCACAATCGGTTCCTGGTTGATTCGCTCATTGCCAGAGATCTCTGCTGCTGATCTTTTATGGCCGGCCATCTGATCTTGATTAGTATTGAGCGAAGACAGCTGTTAATGAAGGTTTGTAGTTTGTTTGATGTGCTCTTTATGACGCACAGTGCAAGTCTCTGATCCGTATAGTTAGTGGCACTGACTTCACATTGGAGTTGAAAATCCGGATCTTATTTTCATTTTTATGCTGAGTACTGACTAGTGCTGTTTATCTCCACACAGACTTGAGAGAAATGAAAGCTTGCCTTGCTTTCTCGATATCTTCATCAGTTCCGTCCACCTGTAGTTCCCATCTAGGTAAAAGAGGTTGCTTCTTTCAAATTTCTCCGATTTATGCTGGCTGATTGTTGTCTGTTGTTGTTGCTGTTGCTGTTGACCAGGAATCTTCATCACCTCTGTTTTCTCTAAGTTCACCTGAAGTCCTTCCTATCTTTGATGCTTTTTCTGTCAACTTGTTGCTTTTCACTTGCATATCTTCCAGTTTTTGGGAAATCAGACAGATATCATCGGCAAAGTCTAGATCCTCCAAGTTTATTGTGTGGGTGCATTTTATGCGTGTTTCCTCGCTGCCCACCACCGCTGTCTGTCGCATTATCCAATCTACAGCTCACAATCAGGAAAATCATTGGAGATAGTAGACAACCAGCCGGCCGGCCAACCTTGTCTTACTCCCGTCTTCACTTTTTCGAAGGATTCCGTGAGTTTCCCGTTGTGAATTACTTGGCATGCAGCATTGTCATAAGGAGGACAAATACTCGCCCATAACATAAATTGCCTCGTAATCTCAATACTCTAGGTTGGATCTCCTGTGGAGTCATAAGCGTGTACTGTTGAGGAGAGTCTCAGAGGCAAAATAGCATGAAACAGTTGATCAGTAGAAGGCGCAGTTTTTAACTGCTTCTCTAACTGATATCATCAATTCGTGGTGATGTGTAAGTTGAATATTACTCTCATTAGTTGTTTATGGAGACTTACAATGATTGCATAATTATATCGATTAACTCTCCTCTGTCTGCTTTTCTATCCCTGTGTATCTCTTTTCTTTTTGTTATTCCAGATATGCATGGGATAAATACTTGAAAATGGATACTAACACAAATGAGGCAAATGATGATGATAATATAAAGGATTATGAATTACCGAAACAATGGATTTTACCCGAAATCAATAATAATGCGGAGGAGGTGGAGAAGAAGGAGGATGGCATTGATAAAGTGAAAGATACTCTCGCTAAAGATGATATCAACAGTATGAATAGTAGTCATTGTCAAAAAGATAAGTGGAGTAAATATTTGCGATCAATTCATTAAATGTAAATAGTTATTTTACTTTATCTTGATCCATTTGCTATCTGTATTTGTGTGTGTGTGTGTGTGTGTGCGTAGATTCATTATGTAATTGTAAATAATGTAATTTTGTGCCCATGTACATACACTAGTTCGATTTCTCTTTGAGTTTATTGATTTATTGATTTATTTGCGTGAATGTGCAGTTTTCCACCTTTGTAAAGAAAACACCTTCCATCTGAGACTGACTTCAAGTATAAAGGACCATTGAAAACGAGAAGGGAGGAAGTCACTGGAAAGGTGATACATCAGCCTAGTTTGGGATTACGGTTCATCCGTATGCACTAGTGATCCCACTGCCAATGGGCTGATTTGAGGACCTTCGGATAGATACCGAATCGAGCTCGTTAACGATCTAGACACTGGGATACCGTGAGATCAGTGCAGCCAGCCCATGAAGAATTCTAATACCCACTAAAGTCCTACAGCAGGTCAACCGCCAACCCGAATAGCTCAGTGGTAACATTTCTGACTGGCTGCAGCATTCACTGGGTGATGCGGGTTCGAATCTCAGAAGGGACATGAGTTCCTTCAAGACAGTTGCAGATACGCCTGCCATGCTGACTGGTGAGTTCCAACTCACAACGAAACCTAGGTTGGGTCCATGGCTTCCTGTGGCCGATTGCCTCCAACTATCTGATATCATCAAATTCTAACTTCTGCCGATTCGCAGTGAATCTGCGCTAAGTTCTAGTGGTTCTAGTCGTTACCAATGGGATCTGCCAAGTCGGTTTATGAAGACAAATACTCGCCTATCACGTTGTTGGCTGGCTGGCGGCTGGTTAGTGGGTAGTTGTGCTATATATTATCGCGAATTGGTCGTAGAAGTTTGAATTCATAGGCTGATTCGCTTGCAAACCAGTGAATGGATAATCGATGAGCTCACCTTGTAACCTAAAGGTCCTACTTATGTTCGACGCCTGATGAGATCATGAATGTCGAACCGATGAAGAGTCGCAAACAAGGACGAAACAGCTATACGGTACTTCCCAGTTTTCAGTGTTTCTTTAACTGAAGTCATTTGTTCGCGATCAATCCTGGAATTACTATCAATATTATTATCATTGGTAATAATTGTTATTTTTGTTACAGTATCATCCAACTTTGTCATATTTTTTGTTTGAATGAGGGTATAGATGGTCAACCGAAGGTTAATTTCTTTATCTATTCTTTATTCGTGTTTCTTTTGTGTTTAAATTTATACTACTTAATATTAATTAAGTAATATAAGCTTATATTTTGTTTACCATCTTTCTAATGCCTATCAATAGTTATTGATTTTCATTTTGAATTTTTATCTCAGTTATTGTAGACACCTTCTTTGTATTCCATACTCTGTTGAACACTGGTTCTTTGAGTCAGTTTTTTTTTAATTCTTGACCTGTACATTCGCGCGTTATTTATTTCTGATTGTTGATCACCTTTGACACTCACAGACAGTTTTGCAGATTTTCCTAATGATGCTCATATTGAGCAATGGATTTGAAATTACACAACCTAGACACTTCACAGTTTGAAGTGTGTGTTCCATTTATGAGATATATTTTTGTAAAATATACTACCGTAGACAAATCTGGTGTACTTTAACAAATCGTCACTGGGGTTTACCTGGAAGAGATGTACACTGGTCACCCCCTAGGATGTAAATATGTTGTGTAAATATATAGAACACGGACGATTTAAGCAAGCAAATAGGCATTTCCAGTGAATTCCCATCAGACTTTATATTTACATTTTTTTAAAATATTAGTGGTCATAGGCATTTGAATTAATGTGGTCACGGAGGGCACTTCGAACAAACTACACACCTTCATCAACAGCTGTCTTCGCTCAATACTTCGCTCAAGATGAGATGGCCGGCCAGGAAAGATCAGCAACAGTAGGAGGTATCTCTGGGAGCGAACCAACCCATCAGGAACCAATTGTGCAACAAATATGCAGGAAGAAATGGAAGTGGATTGGCCATTTTTTTATTCCTTCATGTTCTCAGTGGCGGAACATAGGGCTTCAAGCTAGTGACTTGTAGTTTTTGTAGCAGTGGTGTTTATTTTTACGGGGTGGGGTTGCTAGCCTCACGCCCAACCTTCTCTCTTTAACAGTCTTATTACTGGCTTAGCGAGGTAGAGGATTGTAATGTCGGCCATGGATCGAATCCCGGACCACATGCATGGTTGGCAAGCATTCTACTTCTATGCCACCGACGCAAAGGATTGGCCATAATCTGAGAAAACCATCAAGTGAGTGACATCACACGCCGGGCCATCGCTTGAGTGGAACCTAAATGGGAATCGGTGAGTTGGTCGTCAATGTGAGGGTGACATGGAGGAGGTGATGTGAAGAGGAGATGAAAGCATATGGGCAGATGTGGAGCCAGGTGATCAAAACGTTGGCAGAGAACCGAACGCAATGGAGATGTGCGGTGCGGCGGAAGCCCTATGTTCCTCTAGGAATTAAAGAGAACAGTAATAATAATAATATAACAAAATATATAGGATCATAGTTCAGGGATGTGAATTAATCGATAACAATCGAGGTGACCATCATAACAGTAATAATAATAATATCAAGGATAAATCCAGTCAAGTGTATATATAATCTAGGCAACAGTGAGTTTATGAGTAGAATGTGCATACTAGTAGGGGTAGTGTGGAAAATGACTGCCGTCACATAGCAATTACACAATATTATAATAATAATAATTTCGATAGAGAAAGAAAGACCAGATTTGTAGTTTAAAATAATGACATCATCATTCTATTTCACAGGTTCTCATCAGCCGCAAACTACCTGAAATTACAATGCTTATAAATAATAACATTTCATACTTCAACGTTTGAAAGGTAATAGAGAAAACATTATAAGATGAACGCATCCAGAATATAAGTAATACAAAGTTTTGGTTTAAGTTACCATCAATTTATATGCCTTCAAACTATGAAAGAAAGTGGGGTAGGCGGGTGAGAGAAGAAAGAAGACAGAAAAATCTAATAAATAGTGTTAGCTTGTATGTCGACATAGCAGCTCAACAAGGTTAAAGTTCATCAAATCGAAAACTTGATTAGTGAGCTGAGCTCATTAGTGTGTATGACTAATCAGTGTAATGAAAGTAATAGGGTTGGTTACAAGGGAGTGAGAGATTGACTACACACTCTTTCTGTGTGCATAATTTTCGTCTGAGAGGTTTGATTGCAGTTGCTTCAGCAGTAAATCGTAGTAGATTCATTGTCATTTTTATGTTTGATATTTTGAAGGATTTGTAAATCTCGACAAAATGACCCGAGGTATCCATAAGGTGTGTCTGGTATCTGATTGCACTTTGTAAATATCTGCTTCCTTTTAGGCATAAGTTTCTTGAAATATGCTCTGAAAACAGCAGATAAAAGCCCTTCTTTCTGTCCTTCCAATGTACTTGCTGCCGTAGGTGCAAGAAAATTTATAAATACAGTTGGAAGTAACATCAGCAGGGTAATTATCTAGTTTCGATTGGCTTATAGAGCATGTAGTGCTGTATAGTGTCACCAGCTGCTTAGCTGCAGGGAAGCATCTCTTTTAATTGCTCCTTTCATCCTCTTTTCAATCTTTTGTGATACTGAGAATAAAATGTACAACTATAGTACAGAATATAGCAAAAATATTCATTCAGACATCTATAAAACACAAAATAATTGAGCAAAGAATATCCTTTTCGATAAATTCCTCTTCTGGCTCTACAATTATATATATATATATATATATATATATATATATATATATATATATATATATATATATATATATATATATACAAACGCAGTTGAATTGTTGTTAAAGCGTACCATGAATGTAAATTTTAAATTTTCTGGCACACTTTACAAACAAGTGGATGGGATGGCAATAGGCTGCCCACTGGGTTCCATGTTAGCAGATTTCTTTCTAAGCAAACTAGAAAACGGTCAGAAAATTCTCATTTTATTGCCGGTATATGTGGATGATACCTTCATTCTTTGTGAAAATGATTTGAACAGGAACGCAATAATAACTCAGTTCAATGAAGTTTACGTTCAGCTATCAAATCCACATGTGATGAGGAATCCCAAAATAGGCTACAGGATCCTATTGATCCAATCAAACAAAACAATCTAATCTACACAACAATACCTAACAATAACTGTGAAATCCACTACATATAGGTCAGTCCAGCAGATCGGAAGTAGTTAGATTATCGGAACATAAGAATTTAACTGAGTGTAGAATGTAATTGACCCCACAAAAATGAATAGTTTAGAGAAGGGCAAAGTTCAACAATAGCGTCCCAAGGGATGCGAACGCACAAGTGACCTTGAGCCGACCAATCATAACCTACAGCGACAGGTCAGTACACTCATTTTTTGAGTTTTGTACCTTTGATATATAAACGTAACCTGGTAAAGTGTCTGGTTCATAGAGCTAGGTTAATCTGTTCAGACGACTGCCTCAATGAGGAGGTTAAGATTATTACAGAATTACTCAGAAAAAAATGGTTATCCAGATAAATTCATTGAGAAAAATATGAATTCAGCACCAAGGAGAGTCAGTATGGCTACAGTTCCGAAAAAACCAATGTTTATAAAATTGCAGTTCCTCGGTGACAACATCAGCGAAATAATAACACAGCTCCTGAAGAATGCAATTAAAAGAGCTTATTATGCAGCTGAGGTACGTTGTCGAGAGAGAAATAAGGATAAACTACCTAAATTTGCCTCTTCTATGTGTATCTAACAGTTTGACTGCAGCTGCGGAGCCAGCTACATTGGGCGTACAATTAGGCATCATCGTATTTCTGAACATCGTCCAACATGGTTAAGCAAGGGACAAACAAGATCTATTCGTAGCTCTATTTTAGCACACCTTGTTGATACTGAGCATAAGGTTGATGTTAATACAGCAAATTTAAAATCATTTATCAAATTCCAACTAATCTTAATTTTGCTCTACGAGTTCGTCTTCTACAGACAGCTGAAGCAATCGGAATCCACCTTAAGAAGCCAAGCCTATGTGTTCAGAAGAAATTTGTACAGC